GAACTGAACTGAATAAAAACTGTGACCTCTCACCCCCCAGCCCCGACAGCGAGGACCCCCCGTCCTGGCCTTCAGCTACAGGGACCGGTCTGGTCTCCGTACCCAGCAGTGCTAATGGCTCAGGTTCTGGTTCTGGTTCTGGTTCTGGTTCTGGAGGAGGAGACGTCCGCAGCCCGTCCCTGTCCAGTGACGAGCAGAGCTCCGAGGCCAGCCTGATCACCGACACCAGCAGCTCTGGAGGAGGAGGAGGAGGAGGAGGGGGGGGGACGCCTCTTCATCCCGACACTCCAGACAACCTGACGCTCGCCGTGCTCGACAGCGTGGCGGGAAAACGCTTCGGTCACTGTGCAGGTGAGACGCTTACCTGAGTGGGAGGAGCCAGAGAAAACCAGGCTCACCAGGTTCTGAATGCATGGAAAGTTATCAGGTTTGACCTTTAGCCTGCAGAGGATTGTTGTTGTTTACAGGTCACATGTTGTTGTTTACAGGTCACATGTTGTTGTTTACCCCAGGTTTAAGGTTTACTTGTTGCCATATTGTAACAAGTAAAGGTAAAGGTGCTTTATTTGTCATCAGTGTATGTTTCCACACAATGACGAAATTTGTGCTCTGCATTTAACCCATCCACACCCAGGTGGAGCAGCGGGCAGCCATGTGAGGCGCCCGGGGAGCAGTKAGGGTTAGGTGTCTTGCTCAAGGACACCACGACATGTGGGTATGGCGGGGAGTCGAACCTAAGACTTTCGGGTCCCAAGCCGGCYGCTCTACCACTACACCACAGCCGCCCCCAAAGTATATATAGTCTGACTTTAAACCCAGGTTACCTAAAGTCAGGATGAATTTACTCTGGCTCCTCCCCCTGAGCAGGTTCGGTGATGAAGCTCCGCCTCCTGAGGATGGGAGGGAGGAGCTTACCTCTGACCTCAGCAGGAAGAGAGTCTGTTTGATGTTTCAGGTTTTAGATCCAGACTCAGTCCTGCAGAAACATTTTCATTTTTCACTTCAGATCACACAGACTGTGTGTGTGTGTGTGTGTGTGTGTGTGTGTGTGTGTGTGTGTGTGTGTGTGTGTGTGTGTGTGTGTGTGTGTGTGTGTGTGTGTGTGTGTGTGTGTGTGTGTGTGTGTGTGTGTGTGATGTTTCTCTGGCTCTGACACCTTCTGATCCTCCGGCTGTTCGGTTCTCTGGGTTCTGATGGGACCGGTTCTGTTCTAAAAACATCTCAGTGAGGTTCTGAGAAGCTGCGGGGCTTCGGACAGAACCGAGTCGAGTTCTGTTCAGAACCGACACCAGTGGGTTTTTAACTCACAGTAAATATTCTTTAAAATGAAATCAGATGAAACATAAATAAACTAAAAACATGTTTTATGAAGGTAAATACTGTAAATGATTATTTAAATAACATTTGTTATAAATAAAACCATTTTAAATAAATAAAGAAGAATAAAAGTGTTTCCTCGTGGAGGGTTTTATCGGATCGTCTGGAAGGACACCAACAGAACTCTGAGCTGACCCAGAACGGGTCGGTGGTTCTGGTCCTCCTCAGTCGGACCACGTTTGGAACATGACTCAGCTGATTGACTTTGGGTCGAACAGCGTGGGAACAGAGACGTCAGAACTGCGATCCGCTCCGGTTCTGATCCGAGACGGAAACTTTTCACAGATTAAATAATCTCCTGGATTCAGTTTAATCCAGACTTTATTTAACTTTAACTGAACTTCAGGTTTAGATTCTTCTTCAGAGGTCAACCAGTGTCTGAGGAGGAACTCAGAGAGAGCTTGAGAAAGTCCAGAGATCTGATCCAGAACCACAAGGTCTGGATCTGTTTTTATGGTTCTGTTCTTCAGAACCTCAACCAGAGTTCTGAGCTTTTAGCTTCAGTTTGGACCTGCAGGATGAGGGACAGAACCGGACCAGAACCAGGGGAGCAGCTCAGAGTTGATCCTCCTCTTCAGCCTGACCCAGATGTGAGTTAGAATCTAGACCAGAACCGGTACCGCACCCTTGGAGCTGTCAGCCGGGTCGTTTGGACGGTTTGAAAACAGGTTTGATGTGATGAAGACTTCTCACCTGTCAGGTTCTACCTGCTGCAGGTGGGCGTGGCTCACAGACACTCACCTGCACCTGAACGCATCTGGACCTGAACCCACCCTGGACCAGAACCCACCCTGGACCAGAACCCACCCTGGACCAGAACCCACCCTGGACCAGCTGTTGGGTTCTGCAGGTTTAGCTTGGACACAGATGAAGGAGACAGAACCAGAGATGTTCTGGTGATGATGAGGAGGAGAGAGATGATGAAGATGATGACGTCATGTTTTTGTTGTTAATCTTCAAACTGTCAATCATCTCAGGTCAAAGGTCACTCTGCTTTACACACATGATTGGTTAGTTACTGTGTGTGTGTGTAAAGCTTTGAGGATTAAGCCCCGCCCCTCACCAGTGACATCACACTCTCTGATTGGCTCTTTTGTCGAACATTTTGATTTTTTAAATCATGAGAGAAAACMAGAGCTGTGCAGGTGAGGCTCACCTGAGAACATCACTTCCTGTTGGCAGCGTCTGTCTGCCATCCCATAATATTAACCTCAGCAGCTGCTGGGCAGGAAAACACAGAATGTGTAGAAAACAAACTGATGTCCTGTGTAACACACTCACACACAGACACACACAGGCGTGTTGGAGCATGCAGGTGTGTTCAGGTGAGGCAGTGTCGCTCTGTGGAGCTGAATGTAAACAAAGTTTGTTTCTTTTTGTGTTGGAGTAAAAACTGAAATTAGACTTTGGTGCTGTGTGTGTGTGTGTGTGTGTGTGTGTGTGTGTGTGTGTGTGTGTG